TTACAGATAGGGAAAGAATGAGATCAGCTCGGTGTTGGGTCCACGTTAAACATAGCTTGATAAGGTACACTGCATATCTGGAATGCATGAAGATGTATTAAAATAGCTAGTTAGGGTGTGCGATAGTGTACAACGGAATATGGAATTACGTCGGAAAGCATCTAAATATAGACGATTGTTTCCACGCTGCACAGAAAAGGCAACGGGACTAGATTAGCTCGTGTCGACTGTTAGGCGACCAGGGAAATCATCATCATCAAATTGCACATTTAATGACAGGTTAAGTTACACATTTAAGGGAGATCTTTTGGACCGTTCGGGCTTCTTTAGAAGAGACCGTTCAAATAAAAACCCAACTTAAATTTCGATTTAAAGCTTTCGTGACTGCAGGGATTTATCTTCTTGGTTCTTTCGGTAAAAAATAATAATACAAAATATGTTTTATTTTTATTATTTTATTATTTCCCTTCTACGTGACTTTACCGAAAGAACCAAGAAGAAAAAAACCCCACTGTCATATGTTCCTGGCCTGGATGGGCCCACTGGCTTGCTGTGCACCGCCCTACGAACTCGGCGACACCGAGTTCGAACCCCGGCCCTGGCCAAATGTGAGCCGTGAGAGTTATATCCGAACCGGTCCTTGGTCCCGCATCATCATCATCATCGTCGTCGTCGTCAACACCAACCCGCACTGACCAGAATGGTGAAGTATGGTCAAACAAACATGGAATGCGGACGGCCTTACTGCAGCAGTGGATTGATAAAGGTGCTGCAGAGAGATACGCCGATATAGCTGCTTGGTAGCAAGGGAACGCATCGCGCTACTCAGCCTGCTGAGCTGTGCAAAGCAGGGAGTAGGAGTTGACGAGAGCGTTCGTAAGAGCAATGCTCCGCTGGTCTTGTGGTGTAGCACAAGAGGGCAGTCGTTGTCTAATTGCTTCGTGCATACGCCGACGACATCGAGGGTTTTAGCAGCACGGCCGTGAGAGGCACTCTCTTGATAGAGCTCGGGTTATCAGTTCGAACGATCGAAGATCAGTTCGGTTGATCGACATCGACACAGAACCGTGCGAATACGTCCGCCACCTACTTGCCGCGCTGCCGTCCGTCGGACTCCCGTGAGAGATGTGTCATAAAACGCTGCTGTTCACGTTGTGTATGTGTGCGTGCCATGAGGTTGATGTGGCTAAACGGCGGTCGGATAGGGCTGTTGCAAGAGATGCGTACTGCTCCCGAGCACCTTTTATGGCGAGAGTGAACCAGTTGCTGCCGGCCTCATGCACCGACGAAAATCGTTATCGCCTCCTTGTTTGGAGCATCCCTTAGATTGACTCAGACTCAACAAAATGTTGATATTTTTTTTGGTGACACGCGGTCAGCTACAACAACAACAACGCGATTGAATGTGGAGGAGAATAGGGGTCAAGCAAATGTGGGGCTGGTCACCCCCGCATCAGCATTAATATGCGCTCGCAAACACGATTCGCGTTGACTGCGTTCGCGCGCTTAAAAATACACATCTGGGTCAACCGAAGGAGCCCCGCGGGGAGAGATGTTGGTGGTTACGTCCCGACATCGCTGTGCGGCGACTTCACGTTCTACATTTGCGATGCGCGCGGCTGTTATTGTCGCTGCTATATATATAACGCGATGCATAGAGGGAGCGTCCGTGTCAGCCCGATTTCTTCTGACCAGCTCCCCCTTATTCGCTCAGTGTATAAATACAACTGAGCAATGGGGGACAAGTCTTGCTAGACAGGGATTAATTTTGGAGTTTGGGGAGGATGGTGGTGGTGGGGGGGTGAGAGGAATGATGCCTCGCCCGGACCCGCGGTCCATCCCCCTACACCTGTCACAATCCCTCCCCTCGCCCACCACGCTCTCCGCTTTCCACAGTGGAACCAGCAGCGCCGTCGACTGACGTCGTTTCAGATCAAGGGAGGGGCGCGGGATGGTGGGGAGGGTCGGAGGGAGGGGGGGAGACATGCTTGGGGCGGGCACGGCAGAGCGCGCGTTGAAGGTAACCTCGTAGACGAAGGTTCGACGGAATGTGTGACGGACACTGCGTTTTGTCTTTCGTGCATTCTGCTCCCGCTGCCCGGCCGCATTTGGCAAAGGCGGAAACGAGGCCCATCGTCGCGTGGCCGCGCTCATTGCAAGCCGAAGGCCGCCACTTGTGTTCAACATCGTGCCAACTTTGTTTTCCACTTGACTATAAGAATGTGCAATGGATGGCTGATCCTTCAAAGGGGGGGGTCTGGGGGAGGGAGTGGCTCAACCAATCTGATGCTACGGTGATCGTTCAGTGAGGTGAGGGGGGGAGTGGGGGGAGGTAGCGGCGGGGGGGGGGGGGGCTTAGCTCCCCTGATTTTACGCGGCTGAGTTGAACTACGGCAGCCCAGGTCGGGGTTGGGCCGGGTCAGCCTCGCATTGGAGTTTCGCGAGGATTGCCGTTTGAGGATGAAACGAGATGCCATGTGGAGTTGGGGGGATGGTGGTGAGGGGGGTGAGTTTGAGGATCTGCACGGGTAGGGAGGGGAGGGTGTAGTGAAATCCGATCTCTCGTGCACAGCTGCAATTTCACCCCCACCCCCCAACGCGTCAAAACGTCGGCCTTCCCCGCACGCACCTGTCCATGGTGCCCGCTCCGTCTCGTCAACTTTGCGGGCCCTGATTGATGCCCCGGGTGGGTGTCTGGGCGCCGTGCGAATCGTCACAGCGTCGCGCCGCGTGCAGCCGCGTCCGCTAAAATAACCCGGAGATGTGGAGGGCGCGAAGCGGGGAGAATGCGGCGACGGGGAGTCGAGGGGGTGATCAGTGCGTGCCTCCAGCGATCTGGCCATCCCAGGCAGAATCATCAGAATCTTTATTTGGACTGGAGAAATCCGATGAGCTACAAAGTTTTTTTTTAAACAAATGTCCAGTTAGGGCGGATCAGAAAGTTAGAGCAACAAACAATATTTAAAAAAACACGATAGGAAGGGCAAAGTATGGAAAAGGTAAGCAAATAACAAAAAAACTATACTATTATTTTTTATTTAGCAGGTAAAGCCCACTGAGCTATTAAGCTTCTATTTCTGCAGCGGCCTGGCCACAAATTCCCGGAGAAAAATCACGCGTGCTATGGTACAACACTTCCAGGTCGGCGCTGGATGAGTCACACACTGCCACCTCCTGTCCGCCTTTGTATCTCTTAAAGGCGATCGCGGTGATAATAATGATGATGGTATTCGTGACAATTGGGCATGACTCGCTGTGCGGTCCCACACGGCAAACGCTGTCCGTCTTGTAACATTATCCGACAAGCGCGTGTCCCAATGACAGCTTTCGCAAGGACAGGTCGCGCCGTGTGTGTGCGGGGGGTGGGGGGCCCTTCCTCCTTTTATTGACCCCGACCTGAATGACTTCCCAGAATAGGCCCTAATAAATAAACCTCAAATATCACTCGCGCAGGTATTCAGCCGTGGCGACCGACCGGTCGACCGCTTGCGGCATCGTGCGGTTTCATCTTTCTCTGGACGTCATTATCCATACTCGCTGTTTGCCGCAGCGAGGCTTCGAGCAATTGTGCGTGGGGACTTTACGAAAATATATATTTTATAAGTGAGAATGCTGCCCGCAAAGTCTCCCAGTTGTCTCCAGGAATTCTGCGGACAAACTGGAGGCCGTGCAATTTGCTCGTACATAACGGTTGTTGTTTTTTTGTTGGGTTAGATCGCGTAAATATAAACATGTCGTTAAACCCGCCACCACCCGACACAGCCAATTAGTAAGATTTGTGCGGTAAACAAGACGTGCCAGTTGGTCACTACTTCAGCACACTGGCGTGTTGGAGAGTAAACCCACGATAATTATAATTCGAGTACGATGTTTTGCTGCTGATTACAACATTCAACTTGATCAGGTGATATCCAGAATTATATTTACGCGATCTAAACGATCCCTTTATTATGGATACAATTGGTCGCAAAAGCCTATATGTAAAAATCCTATTTACCGTTGCACATTTCGTTAGATGCAATCAAACCTACACGGATTCTCTTGATGCAATATAAGTTATAACTATAGGGACACAGTCTTAACAACGTCAAAATAAATAACGGCCAACTTTGCCGTACGTTTAACTTCTTTCGCACCGCACGTACCCAACCGTGCTAATCGGAGGTGCGGGGGGAATTGACCACAAACGAAACAACATAAAACATTTCAAAAAAAAATCTCGATTGTAAAATGCATTGCTCCAGTAGACGATCCTGACATCCGCATACTGAGCCTAGTTATCTCACGGCGCCGTCTCCTGCTGTGTGCAGCCCCCTCCGTTTGCGTCCCAGTCTGCTCACAGGGCAATCCTGCTCCACAACACGCGTCACGGCGTGCACGTGTCCACGATTAGACGCCGGGGATATCCCGCGTGCCCCGAGCTGGCCCTCGGTGGCTCCACAATCACGTTGTCCAGTGCTGCACCAGTCCAGTGGAGATCAACATGGTGACTCCGTGTTCCCTGAGTCCATCGCGGTGTCTCCGTGTTGCCGTGTCTCTCCGCCTCTGTCCCCGTGTCTCTGTGAACTTATGTTTCTGCATTTACATATCCTTCTATCCCTGTGTGTCCATGTCCCCATGTTTCTGTTTCCCCATTGCTCCATGACCCTGCGATCACCTGGCCATGTCCCTCTGTCTCTGCGTCTCAGTGTCCCCGTGTCCCCATCATCCCATTGTTTCTGTATCTCCGTGTCTTCGTTTCCACGTGTCCCCGTGTCTCCATACATCACCGCGTTCCTGTGTCTCCGCGTCGCCATGTCTCCATTACCAAGTGCAAAACCGGTTCTTTTCCACAGGATGATAAGTGGCTGATGGGCGGTTGTGGGGTCATTGTCGACTAAAATGGGTCGTTACTGTTAACGCGGCCCGTTCTGCCCGCCCACTGCAATGCTAAATGATAGCACGTGCCATCGATACGTCGTGAAATTCACGGCGCTTGTTTTGTTCTGTCTCGCTCGCAGACTCAGCCGCCCACCATGTCCGAGGAGGAAGTTTATGAGGAGGAGGTCGAGTAAGTGCACCACTTTATATTGCAACGCTGCCACTTTCTCACTTCCAAGCAGAGTTTCGAACAATTTTCAGCCATTTGTCAAATCCACGGTTGAACGAGGGCTTCCCCCAAAGCGCGTCGCTCACGTGGGGTCATTTCACCATACTTCACCACTCTGGTCAGCACGGATCGGTGGGGGGAGGCGGAGGCGCAGGGGACACTGGCCACTGATGTTGGTCGTGGTCTGGAAGCGAATTCAGGTCGCCACGTGTAGTTTGTTGTCCTTTCCACGCACCTCCGATGAGCACGGTTGGCTACGTACGGTGCAAAAGAAGTTCAACATGCGCACACTCATTGCGCAGTGGACGAACCATCGACACCGCCGTAGTATAATAAAAACAGCGACAATTTGTTTTATTTCCCCCCCCCCGTAATTTGGTAACGAATCCACTGTGTGTGTGCTACATTCCAGCTTTCTAAGCCCTTCTAGAACTTCTTCAGACGTTTCGTCACTCGCGTGTGAGCTGTGTGTGAGAGCTGTGTGTGTGCAGTGAACATTGTAGCGCAATCAATGACTGTTGGAATATCCACAATTATGACCGGCAGATAAACACGCGCAGCAGATGTGCCTCATAGTTGACACTGAACCCTGCTTTCGATATATTTGATGACTCCCAATCTACACTGCATGGCATTGCTTCCATGTAACATTTCGCATCTATTCCATATCGCTCAGGGCTGAGCGCGTTATTTTATCTTGTTAACTATAAATGCAACTAGTTTATGAACCTAGCACATGTAGGCAATATTTGTATATGTAAAAAAGTAGTGCAGCGACGCATTGTTTAGTGCACTGCTCCATGAATGTGATTATCTGGGTTCGATTCCCAACCATGGCCAACATGAGTCAACGAGAGTTTGATCTGGATCGGTCCCGTGGGTCTCCCAACTTCACCAAGCAGCACTGATCATCGTGGTGACGAATGTTCAAACAAAGCCCCCGGCACCTCACGGTGTGTGGAGGTCTTCATCCAGCAGTGGATCTAAAAAGGCGGGGGGGAAAGGCTGTACATGCACACACGTGTATAATACGTCGTGGTTGTCTCTGATTGTGTGTTCTGTCGTGTGTTTCTGCTTCTTCTCGTTTTGACAGGGAGCAGGAAGGTAATGTCACGGCATCGCAGACGCATGGGCGAGGGAGCGTGGGCACACTCGGTGATACCAGGCTGATGCCGGGCTGATGCCAGGCTGATGCCGGGCTGATGACGGGCTGATGCCAGGGTGCACTGGTCAAACCTGGTCCTCAGACCTTGACCGCGATCGTGTGTACGAATACAACTCTAATAGCTAACAACACCTCCCCTTTGAAACCATGAGGAATCCCAACTGCCTATTGCTAAGGGGTGGAACCGTGCATCGATCTGTCGATTAATCATATGAATAACTGTGTAAGCCCATGAGATGCACACACACACACACACGCGCGCGTTTGTTCCCCCACCTCTCCAGAATCATCACACGCGTGTTCCACCTATTGCACACGCAGACACTAAGACGCACATAGACACACACACGCGCGCGTCTCCCACGCCACGAATCTCGCATATCGGCGTTCGCTCCTCTCCACACGTGGACCACGCGCGCGTGTTGCTTCCACCGACGATGCCGCTCGGAGTCGGGGGGGGGGGGGGCAGCGCGCCACCTGCGGCGTCTGGCGTCGCTTCATCATCGCGCGCGCGTCCCACCACCACCACCACCACCCAACCCCCCGCCGCACGCCACTCGCCGGCATTGCCAGCTTGCTGCGCTGCCCTCCTGTGCACAACATCGCTGCTGCTGGCGCCTGTCGCCTGGCCGTGGCTTATTGGCAGAGAGCGCCTGAGTGTCTCGCTCACCGACTGACTCGCCGTCGCGTTACATTTGCTGAGCTGCGGACGATCGAACTGGGTAACGAGTGGACCTATTGACGTGCCGCTGATCCAACTAATTTGGTGCAATGGTTGGCCAACCCAGCGAATGGCTGGCGGAATGAAATAATCATTTATTTGCTGATCATCCAACAGGCTCCGTGGTGGACTCCCTAACTTGCTGACTGGCAGATTAACTGGGTGGCAGGTGGACTTACTGACGTGTTGAGCCATTGGCTTGGCGGATGGCAGACTGACTGAAATATTTGCTGACATACTGGCCGTTTAAAGGGCCTTCTGACTTGTTAACTCACTCACCTACCCGAGTTGTAGAGGCGCGGCGTGGACCGATTTGCTGACCCCAATCCCTGGCCGATTGCCTCACTGACTGACTGACTGGCTGACTGACTGGCTTGCTGACTGGCTTGCTTCTGGCGGGCTGCTTATCCCCTTTGCTTCCCCCGGGCGCTTCGTAGAGGAAGCTGAAGAGGAGCCAGAGCCGGAGGAGGAGGAGGCGGAGGAGGAGGAGGAGGTGGAGGAAGGTAACAACGGAGATCGTAATGGTGTCTATGAAGACCAAACCTAGCACAGTCGTTTGCATGTCGAAGCGCACAAGCACGTGTGCGTGTGTGTGTGTACTGGTACACACATAAACACACACGTGTGTGTACATGTACGCACACATGTGCTGTGCATGTGCGCAGAATTTCGAAAACACTGTCGGTTCTCTATGGACGATTATATCTCAGTGCAATCTATCTGCAGATATACTTTCTCCATGCGACTCGCGATTCTCCCGTTAACGTTTGACTGGGTGATTTTATCCACGAGCGCACACTGCTTCCTATTTTCCTACTCTGGATACCAAATGAATTCATTTTTTGTCGTTGTAAAAAAAATGAATATCTCTATTCGTTCCTCCTACCTTCCTTCGCGTTACGACGTTTCGTGTCAAATCCTCCTGCCCCCCTCTTCTACTCTCCCTCTTCTACTCCTGCTGCCTGCATGTTGCTGCCTTTCCGTGTGCTCGGCTCGTCTCGCATCGCTGTAGCATGAGTGGCACGGGCGGTGCAACTGCGCCGGGTCTTTCTTCCGCGAGCCCTCGGGGCCCCAGGCGCTGGGATTATTTATTTATTTTTTAAACAAGGGGGGGGGGGTGGGGGGTGACATCGCAGAGGGCCCAAGCCAATCAGTGAGGTTTGTCACGTCAACAAAACGTGCCAATTAGTTACTACTTGAGTGCACCGGCGTGTTAAAGAGTACACCCACAATCGAGATTTGAAGCTTTCGTGACTGCAGGTATCCATGCTCTCTGGTTCTTTCGGTGAAGTCACGTGGGTATAAAATAAAATAAAATCACGACGTTTCGATTGCAACACAAGCAATCATCATCAGGTGGGAAAAGCACAGCAAGAACATTTTTTTTGTGGTTTTTCCCACCTGATGATGATTGCTTGTGTTGCAATCGAAACGTCGTGATTTAATTTTATTTTATACCTACGTGACTTTACGGAAAGAAGCAGAGAGTGTATACCCACAACGTTTGCAACTTGGGTACTGTGACGTTAGTACAACCAGCTTCATCAGGCGATTTGGCAGAATTGGCAAACCGTACCAATCGGCTGTGTTGGGTGGTGGTGGGTTAACGACACATTTATATCTGCGCGATCTAACCCATAAAACCTCTATTATGAATCCTATCGGTCGCGAAAGCCGACGTGTTAAAACTGTACCTTGTTACCTACGTGACTTTACCGAAAAAACCTAAGAATATGAATCCTTGCAGTCACGAAAGCTTCAAATCTAGAATTAATACCCTCTACGGGGAGGAATTCCACCTATCTGTTAGAGTTTTTAACAGACGAGACAAGAAGTCACAGCTTCTCGAGACGCTGGCCTTCCTCAAGAGATGTTACCTACGTGACTTTACCGAAAAAACCTAAGAATATGAATCCTTGTAGTCACGAAAGCTTCAAATCTAGTGTTAAAACTGGCCCATGCCAATCACACTTTTTTCGCCTGTGCCCTCTCTGATGCATCGTCGCCTGGGTTTTGGCAAAGCCGAGAGCCGTTTTTCCTTCACGAACGAACGTCGTTCAAGAGGACGGCGAGAAGGCCGAGTTGATGGGGTGACCATGACCATAGCGGGCACAACGTGTCTGGCTATGAACTGGAGGGCATTGCGTGGACAGCTGCTGCTGTTGCCGCTGTTGCCGCGTAGATTTGCCGCCAACCGCAGTTGTTGGATGTTCCGGCAAGAATGCGGTGGCTTAACTCTCATGTGCTTTCCGCCCCCCCCCCTTTCCGCCCCCAGGGTTAATCCACGGCCATGCAGGCACAGCAGATTTATGCACTCGCCGCACACTCGCTCGCTCGCTCACGCACGCGAGTTAAATACAAAGATCCGAATTTAGCCGCGCAGAATGTGGAGGCGAATTGCTGGTAGCGAGCGCCTCTTAAGGCGAGCTCCGTACCCGACCGCCTTTGTCTCCCCCCGTGGTGATGTTTATACACCGCTCTAGGAACTCGCTTGAGGTTGAGTCGACCTATGTGGGGGCCTGGGATGGGTTAACATTAAAAGTGGTTGGGAATCGAACCCAGGTCAGCGGCTTCGTAAAGCACCTATTTGGGTGGCCAGCACCAGGCCCAGCCGCCTTTGTCTCTCGAGTGGCGATGCTGACACAATATACCAGGTGCTCATTTGATGCTAAGTCGACCTAGGGGAGGCCAAGGACACGGCTCAGATAATCATGGCCGGGTTCGTAGCGCGGCGCCCTCACCACTCGACTACCGTTGCCCACACCACAAACAGTCCAACACTTGGAACAGAGCAGGGGGGGAGATCAGTGCCCCTAACCAGACACGTGTCCCCGCAATGGGCACGTGCGTGCCGGTCTCGACGATCACGATGGTTTACAGCGCCTTGACCAGACTTCTCATTCCAGGAATGATGTACAAGGGTCGTCTGTGTTGCCCGTTGTTTTTCACTCACGACCCCATAGCAGTGGCCCTCACCACCACTGGGGGGTGGGGGTGTGTGTGTGTGTGGGGAGCGGTAGTGTAGCGGTTAGCGCGCTGCGCCATGAACCTGGCGACCCGGGTTCGATTCCCGCTCACGGCTAACACCCAGTGACGATTATCTGAACCGGTCCTGGGCCTCCCCTAGGTCGACTCAGCCTTAAATGAGTACCTGGTGCGGTGTGTAAACATCGCCACTGGGGAGACAAAGGCGATCGGGCGTGGTGCTGGCCACTCACCCCCTCGTTCGTGTACCGTTCCGGCCTTCATAGGTGCTCGCTAACAGCACTTGTCCCTACAGTCTCTTAAGGCTATTCGGGGGATCTTTATCTTTGTGTGAATCACGCTGATGCTTCCATGCCTGTTATCTTTTCGTTCTGTGCTCTGCTCCCGACGCTGTGCATTCGCTTCACATTGAACCCAGCCGAGGAAGAAGGTACGGTGCAGCAGTCGCAGCCTTCAACATCTCTTGCCTCGATTTAAAGCTTTCGTGACTGCAGGGATTCATCTTCTTGGTTCTTTCGGTAAAGTCACGTAGAAGGGAAGTAATAAAATAATAACGTTTTTTTTTATTATTTCCCTTCTACGTGACTTACCGAAAGAACCTAGAAGATATCTGCCCACGTGGTCACGTGCTGCGTCGCGCTTTCCATTCACGTTGTTCCCGTATTCCGTATGTTCCCGTCCACCTTTCGATTTAAAGCTTTCGTGACTGCAGGGATTCATCTTCTTGGTTCTTTCGGTAAAATCGCGTAGAAGGGAAATAATAAAATAATGAAAATAAAACATAATAAAATACAATTCTCACGACGTTTCGGCCGCAACGCAAGCAGCCGTCCTCAGGTAAAGAACAGGTCTGTCGGAAAGACAGCGTATTTTTATATGTTTTATTTTCATTATTTTATTATTTCCCTTCTACGTGATTTTACCGAAAGAACCAAGAAGATGAATTCCCGTCCACTGTACATGTTCTTCTCCAGAATTATCACTTCACAGTATCATCGTGCTATGGAGAAGGATCATGACCCGAAACGTCGCCTATTATCTATTTTTTTTTCTTTTAAGGCCACCACCGGCTTTACCATCACAAAGGGCCTCCCAAAAACATATCGCTGTTGCTCTCATCCTCTGTATCGTTTCAAATAGCAACACAACACAACACCGTCGTGGAATTGCTCTTCATTGCACTAACGGGTTGCCGTTTGCACGCTACGATAACGACCCTTGCCATTGCAGAAGCCGTTCCCTGACATTTTGTGTCTAAATGTGCTCGGCTCTGTTTGAATTCATAATCGTCCTCTTCTTGCAGCTGACCGCACACCACTCGCCGTTCGAAATCTGTTCCCCGATGTTTGCTGCCACCTGTTAAGCCCCTCCTCGCTCGTGATGAGGAAGCATTCTGTGCACGGCAGGCGCGCGCAAGGCGCAACACACGTGCACGATTGAGTACACAAACGCACCACGACACGTGCGCACAATGACAATAATCCCCCGTATAGCCCGAACGGACTGTTAGGGCAAGTGCTGTTAGCGAGTAGCACCTCTGAAGGCCGGTACGGCACACGAGGGGGTGCGTGGCCTGCAACCACGCCCGGCCGCCTTTGTCTCCCGAGTGGCAATGTTTACATACGTTTGAGGCTGAGTCGACCTAGGTGAGGCCCCGGTTCAGATAATCGTCCCTGGTGTCGGTGGGCGTGAGCGACAATCGAACTGAATTCGCCGGGTTCGTAGTGCAGCGCGCTAACTGCTGCACTACCGCTCCCCACACGTTAACGCACACACACACACGTGCAGGCGTAAACACAAACACACACACACGTGCAGGCGTACACACACACACACACGTGCAGGCGCACACACACGTGTACATTGACAAGATCTATACTCTTCCAGACACCAGGACCACACGCCTGGATAGGCCACGCACACGGGCACACACACGCACACAACTAAAACCTCAAACAGTGCTGTTTTTATCTTACCTAGGTGACCCCTCATATAACAAACACACGCGTACACATACACATGTGTGCACACACGTGTGTCACAAGCACGCATGTGCACACACACGCGCACATATGTACGAACATACACATAAAGGCGAACGCACACGCGTACACACGCACGTACAAATGTGTACCTGTTGTCCCAAATGAAATCGCTGCTCATCCGCACGCCAAGATCAGAGGTAATTAATGTCACCATCACTGTATAATCGTTCCTATTTATCCTCGTTATTAACAAATGTTCCTTTTTATTTTCCCCTCCATGATCGTGGGTGCCACTCAACTTCCGTCGTCGCCGATGCAGGTACGTGCAGCGATGCCTCCACGTGTTCCAACAATTTCACGACTCATTTACCACCACCACCACCACCTAGGAGATGTTAACTACCTCGGACAAAACCACTTACAGAGAACCTCTCATTGGTCTCGGTAGAGACAGCATGCTTTGTTTTCATCGATCTGTATTCCGTTGAAGTGGTCAGTG